GCCATCACCGAAGTGAGACCTGTGTTGACCACCCTTCATGATGCCATACATGGACAGAAACAACTTTGACTGACTGGCCAGTCCATCGGTCTTATTAAAGTAAAAGCACTCTTACTCTGGGACTTACCGCCCAGCAGATCCTCTATTCAGCTAACTACAGGAAAGGTCCTCACCGGCCTTTTCGCACAATTTCCTTACAGGCCGATGGGTATCTATGGATTGTGTGTTGGGGTTTGACTTAAGATGGAGACACCCTTCCCTCGCGACGAAAAATGGCGGGCTTGACAGGCAAGCTTTGGCAAGCTGTAGCAGTGCAGCGCAAAGTCCACGTCTCGGGGTAAAAAGCTGAATCAAGCCAGCCAAAACAACGCGCTTTCAACTCCAACAACAAAGCATGCATGTGTACGCACCTGTATGGCTGGAAATGTATCGACGTGGGTTCCGGTGGAGATGAATGTCTCTTTCTCGGGCCCTCTAGAAGCCTTCTCTTGTGGCCACTACCAAGACATCTTTAAAACCTTCCAAATGTGCCAAGTGTCGAAAACGTTTGAAATCTAGAAGAGTTTCAGTAAAAATGACTGGTAATATGAGGTCTGTATCAAGTAAAATGAGGTCCAGTATCATTTGTGGGGGGGGACTCCTTCATCGTGTCGGTCTTTCGGTCACTGTTGAAAAATAGGGGATACTCGGGGAAATAGTTTGGAACGCGAAACGTAGAGAAAGGCTGTATTCAACACAAGGGAATCAGAGACGATGTTCCTGTGCTTGAATCTCGTCTTGCTGGGGGTTCTACTCTGCGGGTTTGTTCATTTCCAAATGGACGGTCAGACATTTTACCTTAGTGGAGGATCAAACACACGACATGTCCAGGGGAACGGAACACGCTCGCGGGCCGATGAGGCAATGCAGTACGACATAAAGGCGAGCGAGCGGAGACGACAGCTGAGGGAGAATGAACCCGGGGGGAAAAACCTGACCAAATTGCTTGAGGTGATAATCCCAGCTGAGTCCTCTTACTACACCACGATCTCACCTTTGCGAAGATGGCAGCCTCCAAAGTGTGACCGTTCAAAGCTTATCCGCGCCTACAAACGGAACCTACATGCGGAAGAGAGGGTGGTTGTCGATGCGGATGAGCTGCCCTTCGACTTCTTTCAGGCAGAGATACACAAGGCATGACAACGTCTCACATGACCTGTCCATTTAATAATTCATAGAACATGTTGACAGCCGTGGTGTACTTGGGTCCGCAGCGCCTCCATTCGTGGTCTGCCAAAATGCTTCCCGAGCTAGAGGTCAGAGTGCCAACAGATCTGCGTCTCTTCAGCATGAGTGATGCCTCTTCGTCTGCGTCACCAAGTAGGCATGTTCGCTCGTGAAAGAAATTTTGATCGACTGGTGGCCGGATTCTGGGCTGGACCTCAACGAAATCAACGGCACATCTCTGTCCAAAGTGCGCCTAGTGCCTGGCAAGAGGGGTCTAGGCGAGCGTTATTTTGTGGCGGAACATATCCATACGCCATACGTGGCTCTCTTCGATGTAAGGTACCCGACTGCGAGCTGAGATGAGAGTGATATCATCATTAATGCTGTATGCCCGTTCAGGATGATCGTGGCTTTAGCTGTGGTATGCCGCGCAGTACACCAAAACATGTAGAGAGAAGCATAAGGAAGCGCCGACGGGGATCCGTTGTGCTTCTCAGAGATTTTGTATCGTTTGCTGATCCTTGTGGTCCGGTTTCCTAGCAAGATAGTCACGACGACTGAAATGGGCCGGTCAATCCTCAAGTGCGAAGATGAGGCGAGGATGAGGTAGATTCATGGATGTAGTGTAATAGAGGTCAATGCGCTTCTGGACCGATTCAGATACCCGTATTTCCCTGACCATGGTGAGATTGCTTTGCCTAGCGCGTCAGTGATAGCCAAGTCGCTCCTCATCTCCTACAAAGAACTCATGCTGCCGTGAGAGACCACATCATGGTCCAGCCTTGTAAACAAGTCTCTTGTGTGTCTGTCAGGTCTGTTGTCGAACTCATCAACCGGGAACTTAATTGCGAGGTTAGTTGTTGAGGCTGTGAGAGGACTCTCTCTTGCTTGCTCCACATTGCTGACGTACCGGCCTCTGTCCGCAGGACGTGGCCCTAAATTGGCTCGTTGCGTCTATTTCGGGCGACAATCAGAGTGGTAGCGCCTCTCGTCTTCACAGCCCTCATATGCACTCTGGTGTTTCTTCTGTAGGCGTCTTTCTCGATGAGGAGCTGGTTGAGGGTATTGTGCATCTAGTTGATCGCAAAGGGCTGTCCAAGAAGATGAACCCCGTGGAGAGGCGCAGCGCATGCCTCAATATGATGGTCAGCGTTCTCGCTGGATGGCCGGTGCCTCACGGGAGAACGGTCGCCACCGTGATCTCTAAAGCAAAGCTCACCAAGGCGGAACCCCTGCATAAGAAGAGAAGGACCCAGAACAAGATCTAAGTCAAAAGCGGGGAGGACCAAAGGGAGGAAAAATAAGAGCTGGCGCTGGTCATATCCCTATTTGTTCATAGAAGTATGTGGTATTTGTAACCGACAAATGTGTTGACAAAGCATTGATGTGAACCATGATATTGTCGGTCTGGTATTTATAAATCACATGTGATCACTTCAGATTGTATCACATTTGACTGGTATTTGTCTGATACGTGTACAACATTCAGTGCAGGGTACGTGTACAACTTCAGTGCACGCATGAGGCAATTAGAACTCCCCCTGCACTGAAGAAGCCCTCCGAGTCCCTATAACGGCAAGGGGTATGTGAGATGACTTCTGCAGCAAGGAGAGTGTCAGCTGAAGAGAGATATGCAGCAAGGAGAGAATCCACACGTAACATCCGTATGCCCGGCTTGGCCGGCTTCTACTCTCCGTGTCGTCTTTATTCCGTGACCTCTAATTCGACGGGATTTGTGTGGCTTCCGGATCTTCGGATCATCGCGCATGCACCCAGGTATCATTGCATGGGGGAGGATGACGCGACGGCGCAGACCAGACCGTCCCCCTGCCCTCCCTTGTCAATCGGATGCTCGCTGGAGACATGGCGGACAGCTGCACTAAGACTCTTTCGGCTGCCCGCCTTTTTACTCTGATGAAAGACAACGGAGGGGTCCGGCCATTGCTATGGGTGATGTGCTTCGGAGATGGGTAACGAAGGCGGTCTGTATGGATAACAAACTCGCCTTCGAAGACTATTTTTCACCCCTGCAGTTCGTGGTCGGTACGTCGGCAGGCGGAGAAAAGCTTTTTCGCGCCTGTCTGACCTTCACTGAGACAAGCCGCGACGACTCTGATAGACGTGTTTCGTTGGTGACTTTGGACTGCAAGAACGCCTTCAACATCGACCGACCGGCAATCCTCGACGAGCTCGCACAAAGTGGCCGTCCCTTGTCGACTTTTTCTGGCAGTTCTACGGCACCCCGGCTGAGCTGTGGTATCGCATGGAGGACGGACGCACAGAGACCATCCTCAGTCAGGAAGGCACCCAGCAAGGCGATGCAGCGAGCTCTTTTCTCTTCTGCCTGGGCCTCCACCCTGCTCTCGTCAAACTGCACGAAGAGTTCCCCGACGACTTCGTTAGTGCATTCATGGACGACATCGATGGTGGACTGGACGAGACACGTGTGACACGGTATGTGGACAGGGCTGAGCAGCTTCTGGCCGAGAAGAAAGTGAGGCTGCGGAGAGACACGAGTGCTGCATAGCCCCCGCTGGCAACAAGATTCTGACATCCCCGCGGACATCGCCGCCTCCAACGCCAAGTGCCCCATTGAAGGCATCACTGTCCTCGGCTGCCCGCTTGGCGGCAACTCTTTCATCCAGCACAGCCTCGAGAAGATCACCACCAGCCGAAGGGCATGGAATTGTGTCCCATCCCACTTGGAATATCTGTGACAATCGTCCTTGGTCCACCACCGGCCAAGGAGCCCTCGAGAAAAACTGAACTAATTTGGCTGCGCCTCCTCCCCCCGGACTCCGATGTCTCCCTGGCAGCCGCCGAGCGACATGACGCCGCCATTCTCACGGCATTCAGGCGCATGTTCCGCTTCGCTGGTTGCTGACTTCCCTGGCTCGGTTTCCGCACGAGTTCAGCTGCCCATCCGGCTGGAAGGGTTTGGCCTCATCTCTGCAACCACGATTGCCCCATCGGTTGGAGTGACGGCATCTGGCGTCTCTAGCCGCTTTCGTGGAGCCCCATGGCTGCCACAGGGTGGGCCCGCTGCTCTACTTGACCTGTCCTGGCACCAAGCAGCGACACCTGCTCTTGCCGCAGTCTCTGAGGCGGTCGGGCTGTCCAGGAGTCCTCCCTCTCCTCCTCCATGTCCTTATCTCGAGGCCGCAGGTTCGGCTGCAGCAGCGCCTGACCGACCAGCCGCACAAGTTCCGCTTAACGAGCTCTTCAACTCGCTTCCGCCTGACAGCCGAGCCCGCGCCGCCTTCTGATCCGTCGAGGGCCCCTCTCGTCTGCCTGGCTGTCCGCGATCCCCTCCAGTGACCACAAGGCGCTGAACAACTTCAAGTATCGCCATGCCGTCGCCGAGTGTCTCGGCATCAGCCTTCTGTCTCGCAGCGATGCATCTGCGGCGGGGAGAGCTTGACAAATTTGGCGATCACTGCTACGTGTGTCACACGGGGCAGTAAGCGTGTGACGAGATCTCACAACAATATGCGCAACTTGTTTGTTCGCCATCCTGGCTGAGGCAGATGTTCCCTCCAATGTGGAGGTGCCTGTGCAGAGCCTCGGCGTCAGCGCGCCCGACGACAACCCCAACAGCCAGCGCATACACATCTACTGTGTGATCGACGGCCATGACTACCTGCTCGATGTCGCCATCGCCCACCCCTGCAAGCCTGACGACTCCCCCATCCCCTCCCACCGAACACTCAACCGGCGTCGCGCACAAGTTCCGAGTGGCAAGACTGCGCAACTTGCGGAGAAAGACAATATCGACAAGTATGGCCCGACCGCAGAAGCAGCTGGCTTCCGCTTTGTGCCTCTCCTAGGGGACATTCGGCAGGTGGGGAGAGAAGACGGTGGACTTCCCTCGAATGCAACTGCCTGACTCGATTTATTTACGGACAAGCTGACGTGCAAGCTGACATGCAAAAGAAAAAAGTCAGATGGCGCCTGTCTTATGATCCAACAACACCACGCCCAGACGTCATCTGAGCCGTCCCTCCAGAAGGCTTGATAAACTCGCACAAGACTGATGAATCGCAGCAGGGGTTAGTTCTTGTCTCTGTGCTACTTGTTTTCTCCAGCCCCGCAAGAACAGAAATCCTCCCCTCTCGCAATTGATCCTTCTTCATCCCCTCTTGGGCATTTTGCGTCGCTGCTTGTTCATCTTGACGCGAGATGCTCTGTTGGATACACAGTGGAAGTGAAGACGCGCGGAGAGCCAAAACCTGCGGTTCTTACCTCTCTCGTTTCTTCTGCGCGGATCTCGACATGGGTGGTTCCTGGTGCGGTGATCGATCGGTGCCGACAGAAACTGTGGCGCAAGACACAATGCAAGCTTCTGATACATATCTGTCAGTGTCAATCAATTGGTGTAGCTAACCAGGCTGAGCAGCTTCCTCGTCAGGCTTCATTTCAGTGTCCGCTAACAGGCCTACATATTCGAAGATTGATACATGTTCCTGGTCCCTTGATGGCGATTTCTCTGTCACAGTCTCACGCTTGTCTTCATCCACGGCCAGGGCCGCTATATCGCGCGCTTGCGTCACAGCAGTAGTTGAGAAGCCCCGATCGAGCCCTTTGGCCCTTTTCTTGGTTTTCTGATCGTCGAAACAAGTGTGCTGAGGCCTATCATCTGATGCGCATACTCGTCACCTTTTCTGTCTTCTCACGGTCCGTCTTTCTGTCATCGTCCTCGAGAAGCGACTTTCCGGACACAAAGGCGGGAAACTCATTGGCCACCTGTTTGCGAATGTACAGGTTCGACAAGACTGTGGTGAAATTGTTTGTCAGCCAGTAAATTCCGAGGCCTTGCGGGACGGACAGGGCAAACCAACCGATCTGAAAGAGAGAAATAACTAGTAGCATTTCGGAACAAGGCATGTTCGGTCATCTCAGGCCTTACCATGACAGGGATAACCCGGCTGAGCCAGGGTATCTTTCCCTTTGTGCCATCAGGCCGCTGGGCCAGAAGCTCCTGAGAGATGAGACACTCATCATGCTCTGCTTGCTAATCCCGCGTGTTCGTGCATTAATGTTTGTGCATTTGCTTGCCCACCGTAGCCAGCAGCTGCGACAGGATCAGGGCGAGCGGCAGCAGAAGATACAGACCAGCATCCACCCACCCCACAGGAGGCGCACCATTCCTAAAACGAAGAAACGAAGCATCCATAATCAACCTGGGGGGGCGGGGGAGGCGCGTCCTACTGAAATGGGAAGAGCCATGCAGTCGACGGCGTGTCGGAGAAGGTGGGACCGGCCAGTGACGGGATCCAGAGAAATGGCTGCTGGAAGTTCTGGTCATCGTATGCCAGCTTGAGTATCGCCCTGGGCCGCCAATGATCACTAGGGTAGCAACCAAATGAGAGAGGAATCTCTGGACGTACCTGTAAAGCCCAATGAATATGGGAGTCTGGGCCAGTAGCGGGAAGAATGACGACAGGGGGTTCACATTCGCCTTGGCATACAATTTTTGCACTTCCTGAATGCAAACGACGGAGGATTCCTGAATGCATTCGTATCCTTTTTGCCGTACTTGTGCATATCGCTGTTGGTTGTCCCCAAATCGCTCCTTCAACTTCTCCATCTGAGAGAGAACGAGGGAGCGACAAGTATAGAGAAAAAGTAGCAGTAGCAGCTTCACTACGCGTGACACCTGCGGTTGCAGCAGGCTGACAATATTGGTCGTCTTGAGGGCGTTTGCTGTTAGAGGCCACAGGAGTGCCTTCACCAAGATCGTATAAACTACGAGCGATAAGCCAAAACTACTGCCAGGCATCACTTGCTCCAAACTACATCCAGGCATGCACACATATTGTTGTTGCATTTTCGCTCTGCCGTGCGAATCTCACCCGCTGTCAATCAACTCGATGACCGCTGCCTGCAGGCCGACGAATTCTGTGCACGCATCCCACATGCACACAGACATAAGGCGACTTCCCGGTTTACGTCTATTCTTCAGCTTACTGTCCCACAATCCTTCCCCTTCAGCAGCGATCAGAGCTGACGACAAGTGGTCCAGAGCGGCGTCAGATGCTGCAGCAATTGACTAACCAAAGGGAAGCACACGGTTGCTGCCTGTCAGGGCTTGGTTTGCGGGAGATGGCTTACAGGTGCCAGCAAGAGCAAAGAAAGACCTCCACAAAGAGCTGGAGGCGCCATGGCAGGGTAAAACTCTCTTTTCCTGTCGCTGACCGTGGGACACTTCTCGCCGGACGCAGAAACAGTCAATCGTGACAGACCGCCCTTTGTGGCTGATCTGGTGGTGTGAATGAGAGGGCGCACAGGCTGGAAGGAAAGCGCCAAGGCAAGAAAGTGCATGAATATGAGAATCAGCAGAACCATC